TGTATCGCTAGTCGACCACAGGAAAAGGGTCAGGTCCTTTTAATGAATAAAAGGCATTAATTACCTAAGTTCTGGCCAGGCCGCTACAGCTTTCTGAAAACCCGCAGTGGGCACACTCTATACATTTCTGCAGAAGGTGGAAGCTTGCCAGTTCAGCCAGTGCTTTGCTTCAGAGAGCATGGTTTTCTGGAGTCTGGCCAACCGTGGAGAATTTATGCAGCTGATCCAGAAAACACTGAACCATTTCCATCTATGGACATTTTCCTTTGCTTATTAAGAACAAAGGGAAGTTAAAACAATTTTTTTTTCCTGAGTGCTGTATTTTACATTTAAAATTTGAATGCAAATGCTGATATAAAGAGAACTCTCTGGGAAAGATGTTTTAAAGGGCAAGGGACCAACAGCTCCGTCTCTTGCTGGCATATTAACAGCCAGTGCTTCAGTTTTTATCATAAGCGAGTTTGAAAGTGGGTGGCATGCCAGACATTCCTTCTGAAAGTTGACTAAGGTAATGATGGAACTCAAAGCAAAAATCAACATGTCACTTGTAATGCTATTTGGGGCTTTGCAGGGCAGAGATGATAGCTCTGTGAACTGATTTATACAGCACTGTAAAAAGAAAAGTCCCTTGGGTGATGACTGAACTGTAAATACAACAATGGACAAAGGGGACTTCCAGGGCCTCAGCCTTGCCTGCCGCACCCTGTGAGAACATCCGGCACCCTCGCTGTGTCGGCAGCGGCTCTGCAGGGCATTAACCCCAACGACCCCGGGAGTTACACCCTGGAAGAATATGGTGCTTCTGAGGAGGGTGAGACAGAAGTCCAAGGGCTGATTCCTAGAACCAAAATTTAAGAAAGGTTTGAAATTGTGCTTCTCAGCAAACAATTCAGAAAGGCATCTCTTTCCTTTTGTAAATTTACAACAGAGACAAGTTTCTAGGAAAGGGTCCTCCTGTAGGGCTGGGGTGCAGGGAAGTATATTTCTGCCTAAACAATTTAAATGGCAGAGTAGAGCTAATCAGAACAGATGTAAGGACTGAATTAAAAGGTATGGCTTTGTCACAACTTATGCAAACACTGATGGTGGTTCTGCCTGTCTACATTTGAAGTCTCATTTTAATTATCAAATAGATTCTTTGAGCTTCTCTTTTGCAGTGCCAACTTACTACAGTGTAATTTATGCACAATTAAATTTTAAAATCTTAAGTATATAGTTGGCTTACTTTTGACCACAATCATATTTCAGAATATTTCTTTCAACTAAAAAAACACCCTGTGCCCCATGGTGGTAAGTTCCCACCCTTGATAACCACTGATCTGCTTTCTTGCTTTATTGGTGTACTTTTTCTAGAATTTCACATGGATGGGACCACATAGGATCTGATCTGTGTTTGGCTTCCTTCACTTAGTGTAGCTCTTTGAGACTCGTTTGGTATTATCAGTAGTTTGGTCCTTTTCATTGCTGAATAGTATCAAGCTGACTTTTATTTAGATTTGAAAAAAAGATCTGTTTGTGTCACATAGAAAAAGCAAGCAGATCTTGGTTGATTTTTTTGAAAATCATGTGCTAATCATAGGAATTATTTTAAAGCCATCTTACGTTTACATTTTACCTGAAAAATAAGATCCCAACCTGCTTCATTAAATAATGCAAAAAATTTAGAACATTTGGTAAAAAATCTGTGTGTGAAGGAAATTTCCTGTTTTATAGCAAAATCACAATTTTTTTTTTATCTTTTTGAGACAGGGTGTCACTATGCAGTTCAGGCTGGCCTTGAGCTCACTTTGTAGGCCAGGCTGGTCTTGAACTTGTGACAATCCTCCTATCTCATCCTCCTGAGTGCTGGGATTACAGGAGTGTGCCACCACGCCCGACAAAAATCACAATTTAATTAATAGCTTCCAAGTAAATATTAGCAATCTGACGTGAACCTGCATTAGGCCAAGAATTCCACAGAATTTTATTTTATTATTATTATTTTTTGTTGTTGTTTTTTTTTCTGGTACCTGGAATTGAACTCACAGACTGTGCTAGCCAGTCAGGCGCTGTGCCACTGCGCTAAATCCCCAGCCCCCAGAATTTTAAAATTATAATTAAATAATTAGTAGAACTGAAGTAAAATTCTCATCTTCCTCATATGCTAGTAAGTATAGCAAGGAAAAACTGGTACTTAATGATAATAAATAAACAACATCAATGTCATTAATACTTAACAATAGTCAAAATTATTACTACAGCTACACTTGTATAGTGCATGAACTGGTGTGATGTTCTGAGCACTAGATACGTCATTTTTGGTTTTGGTTTTTTTTTGCTTGTTTGCTTTTTTTTCCAGTATCGGGAATCGAACTCACGACCTCGTGCTTGCCAGGCAAGCATTGTGCCGCTGAGCTAAATCCCCAGCCCCTAAATGTGTCATTAATTCATCTAATTAAAAAAAAAAAAAACCCTAACTACTGGTATGTCAACATTGTATTATTATCTCCATTTTATAGATTAAGAAACTGAGGCTCAGAGAAAACTAAGTGCCTTGGTAGCAGGGAAGTCAGAATCTGACCCTCGGAATCTCTTGCAGGGCCTTGACTTTTGACCATGAGTGTACTCTTGGCTCCAGCAATGCACTAGCTGGAGGAGGAGGTTGACATTGTCCCTGAACAAAGCTGAGGGCAAAACCAGAGCAGGCAGGTTGTTCAGAGGTGTGAAGGAGCTCAGAAGAAGACAAAGAGGTAGGGATAAGAAAAACTGTGCAGCGCCTATGTAAAGGCCTAGAAGTATTTACATCGTACAGAAAAGTTTAAAATTCTGTACCATACAAAGACAAGAGGTTGATGGCTGGCATAGACCCCACAGGCCTGCTTCCCATTTCTGCTCCTGGTCCAGGTGACCTTGGGGGATCCTTCAGCGCTAACACCTTGGGAAAATCGGTAGTGTTTGTCAGAGCCCTTTGTGACTTGGCTTTGTGGCTGTGTGCCAATAATCTACAATCCGGCCAGGTTGTAATGGTAGTTGATGAATAACCTTTGATTGCACGCTCAATTCATTCCTTGTCATGAATTTGTCTTTATGATGCTTTTCAATCGACTAACAAAAGAGTTTTAGAAATGTGAAGCCAGCATGCCTGGTTTTGAGTCTTGGCTTTACCACTCTCAACATGCTGCCTGACCTTTCCATGTCTGTGTTTTCTTATCTGTGAGGTGGAGAAACTAACAGTAACCTGATTTGTAGGGTTCTTTTGAAGATTAAAGGGTTGATATCATAAAGGATTGAAACTGACTGACAATCAATTGGAAGTATCTATGAATACTATTACTACTATCACTGCCCCAAAATGATTTAGATGAAAATTTGTTTCAAGTTTTAAGATATGACCAACTATAGCAACCTATGCTAAATAAAATGCATCTTCAAGGCTCTATTTTGCAGGGCCCTGTTCCTTGCTTCTGTGGGACTATCAAGTATTGCACCCCAAGGATGGGTAGCTATGCATTGAGCCTGGCACTCTCTGTCTCTAGCCTACACCAGCTCCTGGGAAGGAAAACTCTAGATATCTTTCATCTCTAGGAACTAAAATGTTAGCAATAACTGAATACTGAGGGTTTTTTTTTTTAACTATGTGGTGCTGGGGAGCGAACCCTGGGCCTTGTGCATGCAAGGCAAGAACTCTACCACTGAGCTGCATCCCCAGCCCTGGGCAGTGAATTTTGAGAGAGAAGAATCTTTATATTATTTGCTTGAGTACTGGACTGAGTAGAAGATCACTGGGACTAGGATGAGAAAATTGGAATTTTTCTACTAATTATTTGTGCTGCAGATTTTAGAGCAGCTAAGGGCCGGTTTGCAGGACTCTGCCTGCCTCTGCTGTTCTTTGGTGCGGAATTCAGATCCTGGTTGTGACTGAACATCTCATTCAAGCTCCATGTTTTGTACAAAGTCATCCACTCAGCCCACATGTAGCACATTGTTTGTTAGTCGTTATCCATAGAACAGTTATCACTGAGTTAGTGAATAGGTTCATACTGGAAGATTTACAGGCCTTGTTGATGGAAAGAGGAATGGTTGCATTGGACAGATTGGATATGTATAAATTCTAGTAATATTTATATCTCTAGCAGGAGCTCACCCCTCCTTTATTTCTTTTTTTCTTGCAGTACTGGGAGATTAAATCCAGGGCCTTCACACTGAACTATATCCCCAGCCCTTTTTTATTTTGAGGCAGGCTGTTGCTTTAGGTCACTAACTCGCCCAAGTGGAACTTGAATTTGTGATCCTTCTGCCTCAACCTCACAGAATGCTGGATTACAGGCACGGGCCGCCATAGCAGGTTCCAAAGCACTCTCTTTGATAGCTACCTCTCTGAGTTATCGTCGCTAGCCTCCTCGGGAGAAGTGACAGGGTAGAACCTACCAAGATTTGCAGTGTTTTAGATACTACTCACTTCACCTAGCGCAGGGCATTTGGATGACACTGCTAGTCTCAAGAAACATTTTTCAGTTGGACCATAGCACATGGCATGAGAAATATGCTCTAGGATGCTACAGGAATACACAGTCTGGATCTTCTTTCTTATGCAACGGAACAGAACAGTTACTGAGCATTGAAAGTGCTAGATGCTCACTGTTAGGAATGCGAGGGATCTAGTTTGCACAGGGAGGCTGGTCTGACCAGTGATTTAAGGAGCTGGATAGTTAGGGAAACCTGGGAGAGGAACGCTTGGTCCAACCTGGAGGTAGTGAGCAGGGCAGAGGTCCTGTGTTTCTGAGGTTGGAAGGCCCAGCTGGGAAGGTGGAGAGGATGCTGTTGGAACCCCAGGAATGACCAGTCTCTCCTGATGTCCTTTAGACCAGAACCCAGCGGGGACGCTTAGCCTGCACCCTGAGACTGGGCCTCCCCGTTTGAGGAAGGGAGAGGCTGCTATCCACCTCATGATTTCTGCCCTAACCAGCCCCGGGAGAGAAGGACGGCTCTGGCACATTCCAGGAGAGGGATCCCTGGGCCACACCCTCGGCCCGGCCAGGTGTGCGCCCTCTGTGTGGCGGGCTGCGCAGGGGGCGGCCGGGCTGGGGTGAGCGCTTTTGCAGTTCACTGTTCTCTGTGTGTTTGTCTGCTTCGGAGGGCTGGGTCCTCCTTGTTCACAGGTGAGTCACGCCCTGAAACACAGGCTTTCTTCCTGTCAGGACTGAGTCAGGTAGAAGAGTCGATAAAACCACCTGATCACGGAGAAGGACGGCACAGCCGGGCGCAAAGGAGAACTCCCCGCCGCCGCCGGAGCGCCGGCACCCACCCTGCACAGGCGCCCGGCCATGCCTGCGCTCTGGCTGAGCTGCCTCGGCGTCGCGCTGCTGCTGCCTGCGGCCGCGGCCACCTCCAGGAGGGAAGGTGAGTGGGCCTCGCGCAGCCGCGGGCTGCGAACTCGCCTTTCTCCGCAGACCTCCGGGGGCTCCCACTTTGTCAAGAACCTCTTCAGAGCGCCTTTCCCCTCCCCATCTGGGGCTCTCCCAGATGGTTTAAAATGACACTAATGTTAGGGAAAGCGGCCCCCTTTAAAAACTGTGAAGCCAACACGCTGTGCCAAAGGAAAAAGGGTTTTTGCTTTTGTTTGTTTGTGTTTTGTTTTTTAATGTTCCTTCTGGGTTCCTTTCTTTTTTGTCCCAGGGGCACTTGTTTAAGCAGTAATATGCTGGTATATAAGCCGTTTGCAAAGTGTGTGTTTTTATTAATAGGATTTTGATGGGAAGTTTTTCCATGACTGGAAACACCACAAAGATTGAAAAGGAACTTCTTTGATAATTCTTCTGTAACTCACGGCTCATTTAGAGTGTTAGCACTGCTCTTAACCTTCGCATAGTGTACCTTTCATAGTGTTTTCATGTAGTAGTCACCCAAGAGGCATTTATAGGACACCTATATCATATATCTTTTGATCTTATCTCAGACACCCAGTGGCTGTCATGTGGTGAGAAATTACTTTCGTGTAAACAAAATTGTCTGAGAACCTAGCAACTGTTTGCTGTATGTGTGTGTCAGCTAAAACAACGCATAACAGGGTTTTCCACGTCTCCTAACTTCTGCCTACCCTGTCTTCCTGTATAATTATGTTCACATTGCTTCGTGCATTTGAGGCATTTCATCAGATCCAAGGCCATGAGCAATTTTCACAATGTATTGATTACAGTTCTTTTATTGTAAAATAGTCTTGGGGTTTACTTCTGCCCCATCATCCCTGACTACATTTCAGAAACCATGTATGGTTTCTGGAAAAAAAAAAAAAAGGGGATAACTGTGAAATGATGAGTGTATTCATCATCTTGGTTATAATAACCATTTCACTAGGTATATCAAAACATGTGTAGTTTAATTATATACAATAAATGTATGAAAGTGGCCTTGTAGGGTAGTTTTCCTTAGGGTTAGAATAAAAGTAGCCTTGGGGAAAACATCCTAAGACTAAGAATAGCCTGTGAATATTAGAATTAAAAGAGACTGCTGGTGGATCAGCTAATTAGAATCCTTAGAGTAAAAAGTGAGCAATCGGAAGCATTTGCTCAAGGCCACACACACAGCTATTGCAGAGACAGAGCTGGCCTTTGATCCAGGGGCTCTTAGGCTGGAGTATTTAAACCACACTATAAAACTAATAAGGGAACAAGGTACATATTTTTTACATGATAGGTGATTATTGAAGTAATTTTCCCCTTGGTCACAGTTGAGAATACATATGTGTGTTAGCTTTAGGTAACAAAAATACACATGTAGTATGCCATCAGTTACTTAATAAAATCAGACTCAAGAGCACAGAGTGAGGACTCACCCTTGAGTGGGCATTTGAACATATCAGCCAGTGCCTGGGACTGTTCAGACTTTCCCTTTCCTTGGAGATAGACTGCTTAAGATATTATAATTCCTCCTTACAAAGCTTCATTGGGATGCTCATTGAGAATACGAAAAGTTTGGTGTTAGGGTAGAACATACCTATAGTACTTTTCCATTCATGGGATTCTGGGATGTGCTGGAAGTCTAAGGTATGTACCTGCCCTTCCCGCACATACAAGAGATGTTGCTTCCTGGCTGTTCCCGTGCAAGTGGAGTTACAGTAATGGAAGTAATTAGCAAGGGCTGGTCTCAACTAAGGTATGGGTTTGACAGTCAGCCTGACTTGGCTAAAAATTTTGGTTAATTCACTTATTGGTTCCATTTTAGAAATCTGTCAGGATCCTCAACGGCTTGGGATCTGCTTCTTCACCTGTTAAACTGTAGCAATAGCACTGTGTAACCTTGTAGAGTTGTTGAAAAGATGATAGATTATCTCGGGGTGTGGTGGCGCACGCCTGTAATCCCAGCACTCAGAAAGCTGAGGCAGGAGGATCGCTGCGAGTTTGAGACCAGTTTGGGCTACAAAATGAGCTCAAGGCCAGCCTGAACTGCATAGCTAGACCCTGTCTCAAAAAGACAAAAAAGATGAAAGATTATCATGAACTTCTTTAAAGTATCTGCAACCGCATTTCCTTGAGTAGCCTAGAGCTAGCAGCGCAGGTATGGCGAACTCAGATGCCCAGAATCAGTAACACAAGAGGTTCCTCTTTGGGAGCTCAGAGCTCGGTATGAAAGGATGTGGCAAGTAGCTCCAGTGTCTGGATCATAGTTCCAGGGAGAGGTATGAATGGAGACCAAGTGAGATGCAGATAAAAGTACAACTACAAATATAACAGAGAATTTGGTTATGAAGGGCTGTATGTGCCAGTCTGCACAATTAGAATGTGCCTTGTAGGTAGAGAAGAGCTGTGGAGGTTTTTTAAACAGGGATAGACATGATTGGTGTTAGGTTTTAGTAAGCTCACTCGCACGCCTAGAGGAGCTGGAAGAACGAAATAAATGCCCACTGCATGATCCAAGTGAGGGATGATGAAGGTTTTCATCATGATGGAAAAAGCAGGGAAGAAACGGATGACAGGCTGGGGATGCAGCTTGGCAGTAGAGTGTTTGCCTATCGTGCATGAAACCCTGGGTTGGATCGTTATCACTGGAAAAACAAATCAAAACAGAAACAGAAATAGATTACACAAACACTAAGTACTTCCAAGGTAAAATCTAAATAACTTGATGATCCAATGGTTGTGTGTTAGGGATACAAGTAAGGCGAAATGGTCTGAAATAAGAAACAGTCCAAGATGAAGCCAAGGCTTCAAGTGACTGGTTAGATCGTGAAGCCATTGAAGGAAATACAGACTATAGAGGAAGGATCAGACTTGAGAACGAGGTTGGGTTGTGAGTGGAGAGGAGGGAGGGAGTTCCCTTGGGATCTGTTGAATTGGAAATGCAATTGGGGTTATCCTCGAGTCCCAGGGAAGAGCTAGAACTTTGGATACTAAAATTTAAAAGAGAAATATGAGATAAAATTTGAGAACCTATAGGTGGAAAGTAAAAGCCTTGACCACAGATGTGATTACTTGAGATGCACAGGGGAAAGAGGGCTCAACACCTGAGAAGAAGCGAGAGGAGGAGTGAAGGAGAATGCAGAGTGAGCACCGAGGAGCGGGGAGTCGAGAAGGAGGAGCCGGCAAAGGCAGAATTCCAGCAACATAGGAGTAATAGCTGGTATCAGATACCTAAAGACATGTGCAAAAATGGTGACTAAAATGATGCGGTCAGATTCAGTTATCAAGTGCACTTTAATGCAATTGTTCTTTAAGATGGGTGAATTTGGAATCCAACCTTCTTATAGATCATTAATTTGCTTTCTCCCGTGCTTTGACATCGGGAAAGAAATGCCGGATAATAGAAAGGATCCCTGCAAAGGTATTATGTTCCCTCATAGAGTCGATTTTTAAAGAGGTGAAATGCTATAGAGTCTTGCACAAAAGGGCAAGCTGTGGGTTAAGACTGCCCAGGTTGGAATATTATTAGCCCTGCCGTTGACCACTGTGGGACATTTACACTGGGACTTGGATAAGTCACTCTGTTACTTAGTTTGTTCATCTCTAGAATGAGGGTAATTAAGTGTCATGATCATTACAGGGAAAACACTTTACAAATTACCCAGCAAGCTCTCAGCATGTGTTCGGTATTATTGTTCCAGCTAGCCGCCCTGTGAGTCCTGGATGTCACTATATTGCCTGTTGGGTTTTAGGTGGTAAATTTTCTGAAGGCTTGTGTTAGTCTGCTTTCCATCACTGTAACAAAGAGAGGAAAAATTTTGGATCAAAATTTCAGAAATTTTAGTACAGGAATGGAGAGACTCATTCCTTGAAGGTCTGTGCTGTGGAAGTATCATGCAGGAAACTCAAGGTGGAGCAAACTGCTTACCTCATGGAGGCGACAGAGAGGGAGGAAAAGAGGGAGGGATCTCACAGTCCCCTTCAAGAGCATACCCCAAATCACCTAAGACTTCCTGCTAGGCTTTACCACCTCCCACTAGTACCATGAGGCTGGGGATCAAGCTTTCTTGGGGGGCACTCCCATCCAAACTAAAGCAGGGCTCTTCTTTACTCTCTTTGCATCAACCCAAGAAGGGTGATGAGGAGCCCTTCTGCTCACGTTGAAATATGCCTCTAAGCTCTACCCAATAACACAAGTGCAGTATCTGGCAAGGAATCCAGAGAGGATGAGAATTTCAAGATGGAATTGCATATCATTCCTTCTTCTTGCCTATTATCACCCACCATCCCTGATCATGTGTAGAGTCATCAAATCTTTCACTCTAGAACATGACCCAAACATAAGACAACCCCACATAAGATGCTCTTTCACTTTCCAGTGGGAAGATCTGCACATCTCTCTCCTGAAAAGAGTCTTGGCCAGCTTGATTATGGAGGCATTCAGCAATATAGATGTAGAAGTCAAATTCTCTTTATATAATTTAGTAATACATTAGTCACACAGTTTAAAAAATAATATACTAATAGGAATATCCATTCATTCACATTTTATGAAGGAGTTACACTCACTTTTTTTGTTTACCTTCAACTTTCACATGTTTGCCACTGCTAAAGCTACTTTCATAAGGCTTCTTTCTTTAAGATAGACAACTTGGGATGCAGTCCTATTTAAATCTAGTTTTTTGATGCTGCCCCTGAAAAGTACAGCATTTCCAAAACATTTAAAAGGTTTGAAAGTTTTCCTGAAGTGCACACTGTGGTCCTCCCTGCAGTTATCTTGCACTTATTAAGGACAGCTTGTAGCACTGCAATTGGAGATACTGCATACCAAGAGTTATGCTGGATAACTGGGCCTCTTTCTTATCAGTAAGTATCTGTTATGTCAATTGGTATCATTTCTGCTTAATGTGTCTTCCCCAAACAATACTTAAATATTTGAGAAAGTGACCTATAGCATACAAGATTTTAGAAGGACTTAAATGTGATCCTTTTTCCCCCCTGAGG